AGCTCTTAGCTTGTCAATAAAGTTAGGAATCCTTAACCTGTAAATAGCTTGTCAATAAAGCTAGGGAGAGAGAGAGAGAGGAGAGAGGAGAGAGAGAGAGAGAGAGAGAGAGGAGAGAGAGAGAGAGAGAGAGAGAGAGAGAGAGAGAGAGATAGTTAAACCTGGCCTGTAATCTCCGTAGACTTACTCGTGCCGCTTACAGATAGGCCTAACAGACTTTTTCTAAATCTCGTCCTAAACAGCCCATTCGGGTTTAGCGCAGCCAAACATAATTCCAGTGTAAGATAGCCGGCACTATCTCCGGGCTGCTGGGCAGCGTCCTCACTGCAACCTCAGAGGATTTTTAACATTAAAAATCGTTGGGGAAACGCTAAACACGTATGGGAGTATAGCAAGGTATGATCTATGTAGCCTGGGAAAAAAATCATTGAATTGAGATAATCAGTCCCTCAGCTTTAAAAAGGTGAAACTGGAGACAGAAGAAGGTGAGGTAAACAGTCCCTCAATCTTGAGCAAGTTTGATCACTATCTCCTGCGTATGTTCCACATTCATCAACACTTACGTAGTCAACACTTTCTTCAAAGTTAAGACACTGAATTTTTCATCTTCCGCTGTCTTCTATACAAGAGCTGGGACTCGCAACCCATCTTCTAATGTCTCGAGTTAATTTCTCTGAATTGGAATGATAAAGCCACTGGTGGGTGAAACTGGTGGGTGAAACTGGTGGGTGAAACTGGTGGGTGAAACTGGTGGGTGAAACTGATGGGTGAAACTGGTGGGTGAAACTGGTGGGTGAAACTGGTGGGTGAAACTGGTAGGTGAAACTGGTGGGTGAAGCTGATGGGTGAAACTGATGGGTGAAACTAGTGGGTGAAACTGGTTGGTGAAACTGGTTGGTGAAACTGATGGGTGAAACTAGTGGGTGAAACTGGTTGGTGAAACTGGTTGGTGAAACTAGTGTGTGAAACTGGTGGGTGAAACTGGTGGGTGAAACTGGTGGGTGAAACTGATGGGTGAAGCTGATGGGTGAAACTGGTTGGTGAAACTGGTGGGTGAAACTGATTGGTGAACCTGGTGGGTGAAACTGGTGGGTGAAACTAGTGGGTGAAACTGGTGGGTGAAACTGGTGGGTGAAACTGGAGGGTGAAACTGATGGGTGAAACTGGTGGGTGAAGCTGATGGGTGAAACTGGTTGGTGAAACTGGTTGGTGAAACTAGTGGGTGAAACGTTATTGAAACACAGATACCCAGGTGTTGCACATTCTTGGATACTGCTGTACAGAGGCTCCGGGAAACTCCGTACATAGACTAATATTTACCCCTGATTCTTGATTTTCTTTGTGGTCTAAAGTTCCTCAAAGAGCTGGGTGAAAAGCTCGTCATAGAAACCAAGGACCACAGGGCGACAGTTTCCTCTTTCAGAGACTCAGTGTCACGATCTAGAGAGAAATGCTCAGCATGGCACGCGCCCACCGCCGGGAGCTGGACGAAGTTTTTCGAGATGTAGCTCTGAGTTGATCTATGTTGTTTTACTTTCTTTGTATTTTGTGAATTTTTTCTCAATGTATTTGTTTTAATAAAATTGTTATCATAGGGGGGTAGGAGAAATTCTCAACAGTTCAGGGAGACCTTGAGTTTTCCTGTATTATATATATATTATTTTATTATATATATAATTTTATATTAATATATATATATATATTATTATATATATATATATATTTATATATATATATATATATATATAATATTATATAGTATATATATATATATTTATTATATATATATATATATATATATAATATATATATATATATATATATATATATATATATATATATATATATAATATATATATATATATATATATATATATATATATATATATATATATATATATATATATATATATATATATATATATATATATATATATATATATATATATAATATTAAGAGAGAGAGAGAGAGAGAGAGAGAGAGACTTATTACTTAGTCTTAAATATGGAGTCACAAGCGAGGTAATTCATTTAGGTAAGAATATTACTACTACTAATACTATGATAACTACTATTACAACTACTGATACTATTATTACCATTACTATTGCTACTATCATTGCTACTCTTACGACTACTACTACAACTATTAGTAGTACCTCTACTACTACTACTACAACTACAACTACCACTATTACTATCACTACTACTACTACCACTACTACTACCACTTATACAACTACTAGTAATATTACAACCTCTACCACCACTTCTACTACTACTACTACTATTATTACTACTGTTAATCCTGCAACTGTTGACGATACTACTAATACTACGACTATTGATGAGTGACAGTGTGGGTGAGGAGAGTAGTGACGGTGTAGGTGGGGGAATAGTGACGGTGTGGGTGGGGACTGCAGTGAGAGTGTGGGTGGGGAGAGTAGTGACGAGTGTGGGTTTAGAGATTAGTGACGAGTATGTATGGGGAGAGTAGTGACTGGTGTGGGGTGGGGAAAGTAGTGACGAATGTGGGTGGGGAGAGTAGTGACTGTGTGGGTGGGGAGAGTAGTGACTGTGTGGGTGGAGAGTACAGTGAGAGTGTGGGTGGGTAGAATATTGACGAGTGTGGGTGGGGAGAGTAGCGACGGTGTGGGTAGGGAGAGTAGTGACAGTGTCGGTGGGAGGAGTAGTGACGGGTGTGCGTGGGGAAAGTAGTGACGAGTGTGGGTGGGGAGAGTAGAGACGGTGTGGGTAGGGGAGTAGAGACGGATGTGGGCGGGGAGAGCAGTGACTGTGTGGGTGGGGAGTGTAGTGAGAGTGTGGGTGGGTAGAGTAGTGACGAGTGTGGGAGGGGAGAATAGTGACGGTGTGGATGGGGTGAGTAGTGACGAGTGAGGATGGAGTAGTGACTGTGTAGGTGGGAAGTGCAATGACGGTGTGGGTGGGGAGAGTAATATCGGGTGTGGGTGGGGATAGTAGTGACGAGTGTGAGTAGTATTGGGTGTGGGTGGGGAGAGTAGTGGCAGGTGGGGAGGTTATTGACGGGTGAGAGTGTTGTGGCGGGTTGGGAGTGTATTGGCAGGCGGGGAGGGTGTGTAGTGACGGGTGAGAAGTGTAATGGCGGGTGGGGAGGGTGTGTAGTGACGGGTGAGAAGGGCGGTTCGTGGAGGGTGGGGAGGGCGAGTATAGGCGAGTGAGAAGGCTAGCGGCGGGTGGGGAGAAAAAGGAGAATGGGGAAGGCGGGTAGTGGCATATGGGAGGGCTGGCGAGGTAGGGGTAGTGGAATGTGGGAGGGCTGGGGAGAGCGGGTAGTGTCATGTGGGAGGGCTGGAGAAGGTGGGTCGAGTCATGTGGGAGGGCTGGAGAGGGCTGGGGAGGGCGGGTAGTGTCATGTGGGAGGGCTGGGGAGGGCGGGTAGTGTCATGTGGGAGGGCTGGGGAGGGCGGATAGTGTCATGTGGGAGAGCTGGGGAGAGCGGGTAGTGTCATGTGGGAGGGCTGGGGAGGGCGGGTAGTGTCATGTGGGAGGGCTGGGGAGGGCGGGTAGTGTCATGTGGGAGGGCTGGGGAGGGCGGTAGTGTCATGTGGGAGAGGCTTGGGAGGCGGGTAGTGTCATGTGGGAGGGCTGGGGAGGGCGGGTAGTGTCATGTGGGAGGGCTGGGAGGGCGGATAGTGTCATGTGGGAGAGCTGGGGAGAGCGGGTAGTGTCATGTGGGAGGGCTGGGAGGGCGGATAGTGTCATGTGGGAGGCTGGGGAGGGCGGGTAGTGTCATGTGGGAGGCTGGGGAGGGCGGGTAGTGTCATGTGGGAGGGATGGGAAGGGCGGATGATGTGCAGTAGGTGATGAGGCTGGGGAGAGCGGGGTAGTGTCATGTGGGAGGGCTGGGGAGGGCGGGTAAGTGTCATGTGGGAGGGCTGGGGAGAGCGGGTAGTGTCATGTGGAGAGGCTGGGGAAGAGCGGGTAGTGTCATGTGGGAGAGCGTGTGGGAGGGCGGGTAGTGTCATGTGGGAGGGCTGGGGAGGGCGGGAAGTGTCATGTGGGAGGGCTGGGGAGGCGGGTATTGGCGGGTGAGGCGGGTAGGGAGGCGGGTAGTAGCGAGCGTGCGCGGGGAGGGGCCACTGAGGGGTGGTGGCGGCGGCAGGCGGCAGTGTGGGGCCGCCGTCGCTCGTGTGTACTGGTTGTGCGCCGCTCTGTGCCATCGCTGCCGCCGCCGCTGCCGCCGCCGCCGCCGCCGCTGCTGCCGCCACCGCCACCGCCGCCACAGCAACCACCACCACCACCACCCTTTCTTCCTCCCCCAATACTCCTCTTCTCAACCACCAGCAAAATGGTTGTAGCCAGCCACCACACCACCAAAATCATCCCCGGGCTGGGGACTCACCACCATCCCTATGGAAAGTAGGAATCCCAGGAGAGCGGAACATCCCACTGGCATGAAACCAACTTTAAAACGCGTCTCTTATAGATTATCGGATATCCCGGTTATCCCAGCTAGTGAGGATAACACCCGCGCTACACCCGGATAACTCCTCACTCGCTAAGTAGAAATTCAAGGGGAGAAAGTGGAGTGGTTACCAGTGTGAAAGTGTGATAGTATAAGGCTGGTGGAGGGACGCTAAGAAAGCCAGCAACACCAGTGTTGAAAAAGAAGAGAAAAAAAGGCTGATTGTGGGGAGGAATTGGACTATATGGTTGTGTGTGTGGTTGGGACGGTTGATCAGGAGGTGGCGCGGTCGATGGTGGTGTAGAGTGCCAGGGACTACTGGCCTTCTACTGGTGGCACTTCGGCACTAAGGGCAGTGAGCTCTTGCGGGCGCAGAGCACACGACAATTGCTGAGGAAATTCCCTATCTCCCTTTCTCTTTCTCTCTTTTTTTCTTCTCTCTCTCTCGATTTCTCTCTTCGTTGTTAAAGTGAGAGGAGCACGGCTTCCCCACCCCAACACACACAACACACCACACACACACACACACACACACACACACACCACACACACACACACACACACACACACACACACACACACACACACACACATACACACACCCTTGCTTCTCGTGCCGTGTTTTAAGCTCTTCAACGACCCTCTTAAATGTATGAGTAGTTGTTAAACATTTTTCAAAAGTGAAGTAAACAATCCCTTCCCCTCCCTCCCTACTTAAGAAAATAAGTTGCTTAAGTGTACGAAAAGAAAATAGAAACTCTTAGTTGTGAACAGTTTAGACACAGCTGAGGATTCTGTTGGTGTCTGCAACTCACCACCGTCTCCCAGGGCGCTTACTTTCTGGGGGAACTCAAGAAAAGTTTTTCCTCTTATCACTTTGGGTAAGAAAACGAGGCACACTTACCGAGGATTTAAGGAAAAAGCAAGAATATAGGAGGAAGAGTGTGAGAAAGAGAGAGAGAGAGAGAGAGAGAGAGAGAGAGAGAGAGAGGTGGCGGTCAGTCTGCTAGCAAAGGCAATACAAGTATCATACTCGACGTAAATTCTTCTCTCCGCAAAAAATGGAACATTAAAAGACTTTAGTCCCTCGCCACGACCTCTCCCGGGTCATTCCCTGTTTTACATCTGCCTTTTTACTCTCTGCTCTTTTCTGGTTTTCTTGGATCATTTCTCCTGCGACGCTGAGAGGACACCTCTGCTCACCCAGTGACGAATGCAGAGGACACACTGAAAGAAAACAGTGACGAAAGCTGGTGAAAGAAGAGAAGAGCGGCGGCGGGGAATGAAGGTAGTGGATCCTTGCTCAAAAAAGTTGTTGCTATTACCCTAAACTTTACTATGTTGGCCCAGACGCTGAGGAGGAGTAGTGGACCCTAACTCGAAGGACTGCGTCACTCTCTCGGGAGATCCTGCCCTAACATGTGAGATTTTACTTAAGACTTTAGATAAAAAAAGAAAAACAGAAACTCCTCGAGAAATCTGGCTGTTGTAGACTGACCGCGATCATCATAACTTCCTAACTATCGTTCAGGAAGTTGTTGTGATTCAGCTCTTGACTGGACCACCCGGTGAACTTATTACGTATGTTGCTCAGCTGCCATCTACATAGCGGAATCATGAAATAAAGAAAAACTCGTTTGTCTTTTACTGTTGGTTCGCTGTGACTACCTTCATCGCTGGGAAAAAGTGTTGAGAAGGGATGAAAGAGGAAAAAAAAGGCTCCTATTGAAATGACGGCAGAAGCTCAAGGCAAATCATATATGAGTTAGGGACTGTGTTCAGGTGCGAAAGAGTGACAAAAGTTTTTTTGCTTGTAGATTTACTGGTGCGTTTTGAAAGAACGACGGACAACCTTTGAGAAATTCTGCAGCAAAAAAAAAAAAAAAAAAAAAAAAAAAAAACGAAAAAAAAAAAAAAAAACGCACAAAGCCAACAATTTCAAGAACGACTAATATTAACATCCCAGTTGACAGTCCTCACAGACGAAAGCCACTAACAATCCAATTCAATTCGTCACATTCTGCCCTACCATTGAATAAAACTTTACGAATGAGGCATTAATTGACCAACTAACGAGACGACAATTGCTAGAGATATCAACAGCCTCAAATATCCTCCCCAAAAAAGGCCCAGTAACGACTAGTATAAAAAAGGAGCCTCATTTGTGAGTCGGTAAAAGATAGTTACGACCTAAGTACCGAAATAAAGTGAGTGAGAACGAAGAAGGAACCCAACCATCGGCCTTTGGGAACGCCTCTTGCACAAAACTGAAGTGACCTTCGAGGCAGCATGGCGGGGGAGGGGAGAGGCGTAGTGGACTGAAGCGCAGACGCGGGCGTGAGAGGGACCTCCGTGGGCGTGTGGGCGTGGTAGCCGAGCCGCTGGAGCCATGAGGATGGGCGTGATGGGCGGTTTCTCGCCGCTATCTTACCTGGCTACACTCCTCCTCCTGCTCCTCTTCTACCCCAGTGAGACTCACGCCCGCAAGAAAATTGATGTCTACGTGGCTGGCTTCTTCCCAGTGAGTAATGTTGCTGTTGTGGTTGTTGTAGCTGTAGTTGTTGCTGTAGCTGTAACTTGTGGTTGTAACTGCAATTGCTGATGTAGATGTAATTGTTACTGTAGCTGTAACTTGTGGTTGTAGCTGTAATTGTTGTTGTAGCTGTAACTTGTCATGGTTGTAGATGTAATTGTTGTTGTAGCTATAACTTATTGTGGTTGTAGCTGCAACTTGTTGTGGTTGTAGCCGCAATTGTTGTTGTAGCTGTAATTTGTGACTGTAGCTGTAACTTGTTGTATTTGTGATTAATATTGCTGTCTTCGTTATTGTTGTGATTTCGGTTGTATTCGCTGTTTGATTGTGATTGTGGTTATGATTGTGGAGCTGCTTTAACATTGGTTGCAATATATAATGTAGACAATCACGTCAACAAGCACAAACACAGACCACAATCCAGGAGGTTGTAGTTGTAGTCGGTTTCGTTCTGTTGGAAGTGCGATTGTGGTTGTTTTCTTCATGGGCAATTGTTGTTATCTATGTTCGTGGGGTAGTGGTTGCTGTACTCGCCAATATGTTTGTTGTGGGGGTCGAGTCTCATAGCTGATGCGCGTTTGCGGCTATTACTTAGATACGTGTTGGTTGAGATAATGGTGCTGGGGTTGTGATTGCGGTGGTTGCGTTAATGAAGATATTTTATGACTGTGGTTGTTACTGTATGCAAATACGGGTGTGTGATTGTGAATGTTGTATGGTTGTGATTGATTGTGTGCGTTTGTGGTTGTAGTGGTTGTGTGCGTAGTGGGTGCAGTATCGGTTGCACTGTTTTGGTTGTGACTGATGTGATTGTTGGGTTGTCATTTTGCGTCATTGCTTTTTTTTACTGTTGTGCCCAAATTTTTTTGGGTTTTTGTGTGATTGTGGTTGTTATTGCTGGGGTGATTTTTGTTTTTTGTCATGGTCATGTTTGATTGTGGGGGTCGTGGTGGTGAATGTTTGTTTCTGAAATGGTTGTGGTTAGAGCGAGCGTGAGTGTTTTTGTCAGTGTGGTTGGTGGGGTTTTGTTGCCGTGTGGCTGCTTTATGGTTTTCATTGTGTGGTTGCTGTTACTGAGTGGTTGTCAGTGCTGTGTTGTGGTAGCTTCCGCATATTAATGTTTTTTGCCGGCTACTACGCAGTGTTATAGTTGCGTAGATATTGTTAATTAGCATTGTTGTCAAGTTTGTGGGTGCTATGTGAGGGTGTGGTGGCTGGCGTGTGGTTATTGTGTGGGTGTGGTTGCTGGTGTGTGGTTGTTCGTGTATACTTGTTATGTGGTTGTCATTGTGTAGTTGTTGTGAGGCTGTTTGATGGAGTGGTTATTATGTGTATTTGTTGATGTATTTGTTGGTGTGTGATTATTTTGTCGTTGTCTGTGTATGATTAACGTATTTGTTGATATGTGTGTTCAGTGTATTTGTTGATGTGTGGTTAGTGAATTTGTTGGTGTGTGGTTAGTGCATATGTTGTTTGGTTAGTGTATTTGTTAGTGTATTATTAGTGTATTTGTTATGTGGCTAGTGTATATGTTGGTGTATGTTTAGTGTTTTGTTGGTGAATTATAAATGTATTTGTTGTGTGGTTAGTATATTTGTCGATGCATGATTAGTATATTTGTTGATGTGTGGTTAGTGAACTTTGGGTTGTGGTTAGTGTATTTCGTGGTGTAGTTCATTGTATTTGTTGATGTGTGGTTAGTGTATTTGTTTGGTGTATAGTTTGTGTTTTGTTGGAGTATGGATAGTGTATTTGCTGTATCTTTAGTGAATTTGTTAGTGTATTTGTCGATGCTTGGTTAGTGTATTTGTTGATGTTTGGTTAGTGTATTTGTTGGTGTATTTCTGGTGTGTTGTAGTCACTGCGGGTGCATTTAATTTCTCAGATTTCTCATAGATTTCTTGTGGCTGATGTAATTGTGGTTAATGTAATTGTGGGTGATGTAATTGTGGGTGATGTAAATGTGTGTGATGTAATTGTGGGTGATGTAATTGTGAATGACGTAATTGTTGGTGATGTAATTGTGGGTGATGTAATTGTGGTTGATGTAATTGTGGGTGACGTAATTGTCGGTGTGGGTGACGTAATTGTGGGTGATGTAATTGTGGGTGATGTAATTGTGGGTGATGTAATTGTGGGTGATGTAATTGTGGGTGATGTAATTGTGGGTGATGTAATTGTGGGTGTGTAATTGTGGTGATTATTGTGGTGATGATTGTGGGGATGTAATTGTGGGTGATGTAAATGTGGGTGATGTAATTGTGGGTGATGTAACGTGTGATGTATTGTGGGTGATGTAATTGTGGGTGATGTAATTGTGGGTGATGTAATTGTGGTTGACGCAGTTGTGGTTGTTGTTACAAGTCCTCATTTGTTGTAATTGCAGATGGTCTAACAAGCGATGTGACTGTTGCAAACTGTTCTTGTGTAGTTGTTTAATAATTTAGTTATGTAGTTGTTTAGTACTTTAGTTATGTGTTGTTTAGTACTTTAGTTATGTGTTGTTTAGTACTTTAGTTATGTGTTGTTTAGTACTTTAGTTATGTGTTGTTTAGTACTTTAGTTATGTGTTGTTTAGTACTTTAGTTATGTATTTGTTTAGTACTTTAGTTATGCAGTTGTTTAGTACTTTAGTTATGTAGTTGTTTAGTACTTTAGTTATGTAGTTGTTTATACTTTAGTTATGTGTTGTTTAGTACTTTAGTTATGTAGTTGTTTAGTACTTTAGTTATGTAGTTGTTTAGTACTTTAGTTATGCAGTTGTTTAGTACTTTAGTTATGTAGTTGTTTAGTACTTTAGTTATGTAGTTGTTTAATACTTTAGTTATGTGTTGTTTAGTACTTTAGTTATGTAGTTGTTTAGTACTTTAGTTATGTAGTTGTTTAGTACTTTAGTTATGTAGTTGTTTAGTACTTTAGTTCTGTAGTTGTTTAGTACTTTAGTTATGTAGTTGTTTAGTACTTTAGTTATGTAGTTGTTTAGTACTTTAGTTATGTAGTTGTTTAGTACTTTAGTTATGTAGTTGTTTAGTACTTTAGTTATGTGTTGTTTAGTACTTTAGTTATGTGTTGTTTAGTACTTTAGTTATGTGTTGTTTAGTACTTTAGTTATGTAGTTGTTTAGTACTTTAGTTATGTGTTGTTTAGTACTTTAGTTATGTGTTGTTTAGTACTTTAGTTATGTGTTGTTTAGTACTTTAGTTATGTGTTGTTTAGTACTTTAGTTATGTGTTGTTTATACTTTAGTTATGTAGTTGTTTAGTACTTTAGTTATGTGTTGTTTTAGTACTTTAGTTATGTGTTGTTTAGTACTTTAGTTATGTGTTGTTTAGTACTTTAGTTATGTGTTGTTTAGTACTTTAGTTATGTGCTGTTTAGTACTTTAGTTATGTAGTTGTTTAGTACTTTAGTTATGTGTTTTTTTAGTACTTTAGTTATGTGTTGTTTAGTACTTTAGTTATGTGTTGTTTAGTACTTTAGTTATGTAGTTGTTTAGTACTTTAGTTATGTGTTGTTTAATAATTTAGTTATGAAATTGTTTAGTACTTTAGTTATGTGTTGTTTAGTACTTTAGTTATGTGTTGTTTAATAATTTAGTTATGTAGTTGTTTAGTACTTTAGTTATGTGTTGTTTAGTACTTTAGTTATGTGTTGTTTAGTACTTTAGTTATGTAGTTGTTTAGTACTTTAGTTATGTGTTGTTTAGTACTTTAGTTATGTGTTGTTTAGTACTTTAGTTATGTAGTTGTTTATACTTTAGTTATGTAGTTGTTTAGTACTTTAGTTATGTAGTTGTTTAATACTTTAGTTATGTAGTTGTTTATACTTTAGTTATGTAGTTGTTTAGTACTTTAGTTATGTAGTTGTTTAGTACTTTAGTTTATGTAGTTGTTTTAGTACTTTAGTTATGTAGTTGTTTAGTACTTTTAGTATATGTGTTGTTTAGTACTTTAGTTATGTAGTTGTTTAGTACTTTAGTTATGTAGTTGTTTAATACTTTAGTTATGTAGTTGTTTAATACTTTAGTTATGTAGTTGTTTAATACTTTAGTTATTTAGTTGTTTAATACTTTAGTTATGTAGTTGTTTAATACTTTAGTTATGTAGTTGTTTAGTACTTTAGTTATGTGTTGTTTAGTACTTTAGTTATGTGTTGTTTAATACTTTTAGTTATTAGTTGTTTAATACTTTAGTTATGTGTTGTTTAGTACTTTAGTTATGTAGTTGTTTAATACTTTAGTTATGTAGTTGTTTAATACTTTAGTTATGTGTTGTTTAGTACTTTAGTTATGTAGTTGTTTAATACTTTAGTTATGTAGTTGTTTAGTACTTTAGTTATGTAATTATTTAGTACTTCAGTTATGTAGTTGTCCAGTGTTTTAGTAATGTAGTTGTTTGGTATTTTAGTTATGTAGTTGTTTAGTGTTTTAATTATGTAGTTGTTTAGTACAATAGTTATGTAGTTGTTTAGTGTTTCAGTTGCATACATAATGGTTGTAATGTGACTGTAGATGTGGTTGTGATGTTGTTACCTCCCAGTTGTAGCTGCAATTGCGTTTATTAAGCGTTAACCTGTGTTTGTACTCACCTATTTGTACTCATCTGTTTGTGGTTGCAGGAGTCGAGACATAGCTCCTGGCCCCACCTCTTCACAGATCGCTACTAGGTCCTCTCTCTCCCTGCTCCACGAGTTTTATCATACCTAGTCTTAAAACTATGTATTGCTCCTGCCTCCACTACGTCACTTGCCAGACTATTCCACTTCCTGACAACTCTATGACTAAAGAAATACTTCCTAACATCTCTTTGACTACAACTGAGTCTTCAACTTCCAACTGTGACCCCTTGTTTGTGTGTCCCATCTCTGGAGCATCCTGTCTCTGTCCTTGTCAATTCCTCGCAGTATTTTCTATGTTGTTATCATATCTTCCCTAACCCTCCTGTCCTCCAGTGTCGTCAGGCCGATTTCCCTTAACCTTTCTTAGTAGG